CTCATCAAGGAACTGCTGAGGGCCCCTGGGCATCCCAGGAACATAAAGGAGTACTTGTAACAAGGCAACAGCAGTGGCGATGTCTTGAATAGCAGCGTGTGACATCAGCAAATGGTATCAAAGAGAAAAGTCCCTGCTCCTAAATTAAGTGAAGAGTATATTGCTGGTTAGTGAGTCAGTCGACAGAAGACAACCAAGGACACATGTCCAGAAATGCAAGTAAAAAAGTTAGTTATATCAAGGTTTCTTGGAAAAGCTTGTAAAGGAAGGACTGTAATTATAACTGGCTTCGTGAAGAAGGATTAAAAACAGAGAACTGAGAATTAAATTACAGCTGCTTAGAAAAAGGCTGGTTTATTGAGATACATTGAAACAGAATGCGATCGTAGGAAAACATCTACCTAAACTGTAAGTTGTCTTGCCATGCCACAGAAGTCCATAGTCATGGAGGAGATAAACCAACTTGACATGAGATTGGGTTGAAGTACATCATAGTGTATATACACTTGAAATATAGTTGTTGTATTTTAACTTTGTTGCCATATATTTACTGTCATGCTATAATTTTATGGCATAACACGGTATTGCTAAAATTCATGAGGGTTCATTTACAGTGTTGATAATCCTGAGGTTAGATGAGCTTCATGTGATTGTAGCATCAAACTTCTATACTTGATTGCTTAAAGTTTCATCCTTGTGGTCTAATCCAAAAGAGGGTGAAATATCAGTGGACTTTCAGTGGGCATTAGCTCACCTGAACATCATGTCAAGTATGTAAATTGGTAAAATTTTTACAAGAAGTCTGAGTATGCCCTGAGAAATTCCCCAGGCTCCTCACTGATTTTGGCTGGGACTATAGTTTGAAAACTTGAAAATCACTGCAGATGTACTGGGAAGTAGATGCAGACACCCAGTTTGGGGAATGTCAGCTGTTTGCTTTTGTAGTAGAGAAAAAGTAACAATGATCCTCCCCACCCAGCACTGAAGTGGTATGAATTGCTGTAATTGCTGTGATTCAGAGCTGGGCAGTTCCAGATGGAAGAGAATAAGCTTACTTAATAGTCAGTGGTCAGGATATGGAAAATTATGGGTCCTGCATAGCTGTAGCTTGGCCGTCTTCCATGTCGGTAGTATTTTGCATTGCTGTGCATGCTGTTAACACCTTGGTATATATGAATAGTGTGGTCACACTATAGCTGCTTGGGGAACTATAACTTTGAACTGTGTAAAATTTATTCATGTGATTTCCATGGAGAGGTTTTTTTTTCTGATGGAAGATGGTTAATTAGAGTAGAAAGGTAGGAAAACAAAAAGCGCAAATACATGCTTATCTCATCCAGCTATGCAGTTTACTTACCTGCTTTTTAGTTATATGGTACCTTGAATGGGACATGAAACTGATACAGAGGATATCTCAGCAGAGGGGTTTCCACGTAGTTGTATTGCAGCCTCCAAAGATGCTCAGCAGACCTGGCAGCTTCTGTGCTGCCACTCACATTGCTGATGACAGATGTTGGGGCTGGCTCTGCTGTGTAGTACAGGTCAGGGACAGCAACATTTTAGTAGACTTGATGTGCAAAATATGATCACAGCATTTGGAGCTCAGCTTGCACCTGTACTTAAAAAAACCAGCATAAATCAAAATGGAAAATGCTATAATAAAAATTTTCTGCTTTTTATTAGAGCTCAACTAAAAGTACTGTTAATTACCTACAAGATTAGTGGATCTTTAATAGCTTTTATAATCTGTCTGGTTTTGTCCTGAGGGCTGTCTAATGTTGAACCACACATTATTAATTACCATGGAGACCTTCAAGCAACCTGTGAAGACATCTTCACATTTACTCTGGTCCCTATTTCGACACATTCATGGAAGATATACTTCTTCTAGCCCTTTTAAACCCTTTTCCTGCAGCAAAAAAGGATGGGTTTTTTTTTGTAAGTATTATTTATTCTTACTATCAGGTATTCTAGAATTCAAATAAACACAGGCCAAAAAGTGTAAAAGTTATTGAAGAAAATTTGGTGCCAGTCTGTTTCATCATTTCTGATAGGACTGAATGTAGAACAGAAGCTATGTTAAAATAATAAAAAAAGAAGAAGAAAGAAAATCCTTCATACCCATGAGGTGTCATTAAGAGAGTTAATGTAGTGCAGAAGGGAAGTCCTGGGACCATATGGCTTGGGACACTGTTCTAATAAGTCAGGAGTGGTATCAGAAGGAATAAATTTTGCACTCTTTTTACTCAGAGGATCTGTTGTAGACAGTCACAGGCAACAGGGCTGCAAAATGAACCTGAGTGAGCTCTGGACAGGTGGAAAATGGAACAAGGACAGAGCAATCCCTTCAAAATTATCTGCAGCCATTGCTTTGCATTGTAATATTCTTCTGATCTCTGATGTTTTCTCCTTTCTAGGTTAGAGCAGTCCTATACATCATGCAACCCATTCTCTGTATAGGTTCATGGCAACTTCTAAATGATCAAGCAAGATGATATGCAAGAAAACTTTATCCCCTTCATGGCATCCTGTAGCCCCTTTCAAAAACTGGTGCTTGAACAAGTTCCTGGAATAATGTGAAAAGTAGCCAGTGTGCCCAACATATGGTTTGGCTGGGGAGTGTAGGTGCGGTCTCACCTGCAAACAGTAAATATTACTCCTTTAGAAGAAGATTTCAAATGGCATAAATTACCAGAAGTTTCACCTTCCTTGGCAATGTAAGATAAAATGCTGGGGTTTGTGCGTGGGCTACTAAGACGTGGCACAGATGATCTTCTGATGATTTTCTAACATGGTTTTTCGTATGTAATGTCAGGGCTTTTGGCCCAGAGGCAAGGCAGGGGGCTATAGCAGTAACCTCCCAGACTGCCAAGTGGGCTTTGACAAGGCTTATCTGGCAAATCTGCCCTGTCTACAGGAGAGTTTTCAGGCTGGTGGCACGGGTAGATTTTGGATTGAACAAATTAGCTGACAAAATGGATTTTGAAGGTTGCTGCGTTACACTGAGAGGTCTTTGCCATGGACAAAGGAAGCGACAAATAGCTTTCCTTGAAACGGATGCCAGCCACAAGCTGTAAATCAGCCAGCAGGGAGGTAAAACAACTAGAGAGACTCACTTCTCTCCTGAGAAAATGAGTGTCACATCATGAAAGCCTGTGTTTGATCATCCACAGGCCACTTGGACTCTAATGCTGGCACATAAAGCAGTTGTTGAACTTTGTGGTTTCTTGGTTTGGGGTTTTTTTTCAATTTTGGAAAATTAAACGCCCCACTGGCAAATCCTGTCCTAGTGTGCACTCTGTCCATCAGCTCTTGTTAGTCCACCAAAAGCCTGACTTTCACCTCTTCTTTCATGCTTTCTCCTTGGGTCAAAATAACTGCAGCTGCCTTTTAGTCTTTGGCTGTCAGACTGAGCTGAGCTGTTCTGTGCCTTCTGTAGCACTGTGGGCTCTTCGCCTAAACTGGTGGTGCATTTTCTTGATGAAACATAGGTTGGAGTTATGTAAAAGTCCAATTTTAAATGTCAGAACAATGTAAACATTTGTATTATCAGTAAATAATTCCTATATTCTCCTTACTTTTGGCAACTGGTTTAAGAGTGAAGGAATGTCTTGCATGTAATTACGTTACCAGGGGCTTGGTTAGTTCAGCTTAGCCAAACAACTATGTAATACTTTTTATCTATGGAGCAGTTATTTACTTAACACATGTTTTTATCTTTTAATATTTTTAATGTCCATCTAAAACTGTACGAGTTAAAGTAGCACTTTATTTACCAACATTTTAAATTGTTTAGGTACACTGAAGTAGAAGATAAGCTAAATGTTGTTTTTATCCAGGAGAATGTTTGTAGAGGTGGGTTGTTCAATAGCAATAAAAGACCCCATAATGTGGTATAATCATTGATTATGCCTTTGCTGGGATGTCAGGAGCTTTTCCATTGTAATGAAGCTGTGAGTGAATGGGAACATATTTCTTGCAGCTGAAAAGATAATTTATTCCGAATTGTTGTGCATCAAGCCAGAGTGCATTGCACTACTGAGATGTGAGTTGCTGCTTACAGAAGAGGAATACCTGCGCTGCTCAAGCCTGTCTGTCTGCTTCTGCTGATGCGTCTCCATCTGAACTCAGCTTCTAAAATAATTATTGCTTCATCACTGAAGCACACCAGGCTCCTGTGAACAAACCTGTAATATATTTGCAGCACCCTGCTTTTAGCTGCTGTTGTTACTCACAGTGATGTAGACCAAAAGCTGTAGGTTGCCTACGTAGACTTGTGGGAGGCAGAGCTGGTTGGCAGCAGTCTTCTTTTATGTTAGTATTAGAAAGCAACATTTCATTCATTTCATGTCACTTACTGAAAAAACTGTAAAGAACAGGAAACTGTTCTCCTGGCAGTTCCAGAGAACACATTACTGTAGAGGGTAAGTAGTTTCCTCCATTGCTCATTTGCTAGTGGAGAGATGCTCAGCTGAACAAGGGCCAGAAATGGAAGTGGTAATCATTAAACAAGCAAATCCACCACTTGTGCTCTCCAAACAAAATCATGGCACAGCATACTTCCCAATCCTGAGAGGTGCTAAGTCCTCTTCGCAGGGGGAGGAGCACATACTCCGTGCTGTGGGATGAGGGTGCTCAGCACCTTACAGGATCTCACGTGGTCAGCTGCAGAATTTGTGCGTCTGGGCATGGGAACCATGATCTGCAAATTTCTTCCCTATCTGCAGAGCTATTCAGACACAACATTAAAGTGTGATTTCAATGTTCAGAATAGCAGATAGTGGTTAACTGTTTTTAAAAATGTGGCAAAAGTTGCCATTTTCCTCCTGGTTTTTTTTTGAGACACATTCCTTTGTGTTCCAGCAATTGAGAAAATAACCCCCTAAATTAGTCATTTTGGTTAATTTGGAGATCACTTCTAGTTAATCAATTCCATAGGGAAGAAAAGTTTTTCATGTGTCAATTGCCATTGCTTTTTTTTTCTTTTTTTTTTTTTTTAGGTGAACATGTTTGTGGAAGGATTCCATGATGCTATTCTTCTTTATGCTCTAGCTTTACAGGAAGTCCTGAAGTTTGGTTTCAGTAAGAAAGATGGGGAAAAAATTGTTCAGCAAACACGGAACAGAACATACGAAGGTAAGAGTTAATACGGAATTCCAGCTTTCAGAGTCAAAAAAATACAGGTCTTTGTTGTGTGCAGAGCAAGGAACCATGCCTATTCCCCTCTTAAATGAGAGGAAAATTGCCATATGAAACAATGTACATCTTTAAGGCTGGCTCACATACCTCACCAGTCTTATTTTTTCTTGCACCAGCCCTTGAGGTCTTATACAGCTCAAAAAACTCCTAACAATTTAATGACCCTCACTGATGTTGTAAAGGAATACCAATAATTTTCTAAGGCTCCTTCTTTGTTTTTGAAAAGATTACAGCTGCTCACTTTACTCATGTGCCTCTATTAGCTCTGAGATTGCCTCATTTTTTCCATTTGACTTTTTTGTCTTAAAAGCCTGGGAATGGATAGAAGCAAGCAGGTGCCAGGTTTTGGGGCTTTTTTTGTTTTGTGATGGGCTCCTTTGGGCCCTGGAAGGATTTCCCCCCAGCCTCCTTTCAGGAGCCGTGCGTGTTATCTCAGAGGCAGCAGCTGAACAGCAGTGTGCTTTTCCATGCCTAATCCTGTAGGCTGCAGTTCCACAGTGCAACTGGCAATTGTATGTCACCCTGCTGATGCAAAGCAGTGCGAGTGCTTTTGCCAGGTAGGCATCATAATAAAGAAACCAAGGATTATTGGATTAATCTGTCATCTCTTAGAATATTTCCATCCATCTCTTTATAACATTCCCATCCCTCTCTTATAATACTCCAATCTTTTGGTTTAGGATTGGCAAGATTTTCTATGGAAATGCCTAAGAGAAGGAAACATTTCCCCTAGATAAGAAGCAAATGATTAATTTGAACATGTAAGAAAAACCTCAGTGGCTGGTTTCTCTGCTCTAACAACACCCTGGACATAGCGGAGGAAGGCAAGAAGGACAGCAGCTCCAGACCTCTTTTCTCTTCTCAAATTGTGGCGTGAACACAAGGCAAAGGGGTCTCCAGGGCAGCTTAAGGCAACACAGGGATTGCTTTAAATTATGCTGATTGCAGTCATCCCATAAGGAGCTCTGCACCAGCCAGAGATTGTGTTTGATGTCCCTTCGCATTTGTGGCTTCCCAAAACACACTGTTTTAACAGAGGCAATCTGGTGTCTAAGGATTTGCCTCACTGCTGGGTTATCCTGTGCATGAGCAGATGCTCCGGCACAGCCTGTCTGTGTTTTCTCTACTCCTGCTTCTCTGCTCCGGGAAGCCACCAGCTGGTGTGCCCATGCAGGTCTTTTATAGTACCATGTGCTCCTTGCAGCTTACATGGGTGATTCTCACACCTTTCTTGTAAAACCAGCCAGGAGGAAAAAATGTTCTCTTTTCCCACTTGTGAAAACCAGTTTGTTGTTGTTGGCTGACCTGTCACAGCTATTCTGAAAATGTAGCTGTCAAGCTGAGCTGTAAGGGTGCAGTTGAAAAGGTCAAAATGCCATGTAAGTCATATGCCGTCTCCTCCCTGTGGCAGTACTTTGCTGGACATAATTTACAAGGATAAAACTGATTTTGCAAGAGCCTTTTAACTTGATGTCTTGCAAGCCAGTCCTTTTAGAAAAATCACATCCCTTTGTTCTGCCTGTAAGACCCTCTCTGAAGTGGATGCAGCATTGCAAATTACGGTTCATGCGTACACCCACCAGGCTCAACTGCAGGACTGAAGCTTTATCATTCACTTAAACTTTTGCAGGCCTTGATGATGAGAACTTCAGTTTCATCAATGACATTAATTTAACTGCTGACACCTAGATATCTAATTGACTGGGTGCCTCATTTTACAGCTTGCTCTGACCCATCAGAACTCCAGTGGGATGTGGATGCTGTTTCCTGCAGTGTTCACAGCCTGCCAGCTACAACTGCACAGGCAATGTCATATGCTTAGGAAAGCATAAGGCTGAGGTGATCAAAGGATTTCTTATTGCTTGGGGTGTTAGAGACGCCCTGATATGACTGCAGGGAACATTATGTGGGGAATATTTTCTATTCATTGGCATTTCCTCTGAAAAAGTAGCAAAATTTGCTGTATGTAAGTATCTAACATAATATAACAAAAAGAGAGTCTGGATAAAATCCTTCCACCCTCATCCAAATACAGTTCTTCATTAAGGTTGTTTCAGAATTTCCGAAATATGTTTCATAAGGAAGAACATTGCAGGAAATGTTGGCATTTCAAACTCTTTGTTTTGTTTCAGATGGAAAAGTTAAAAATCAGTCTTTCTCATTAAAAAAAAAATCCCATAGGAATTCTGAGTTTCAGCAAATTTTAGTACCTACTTCTGAAATTGATTTTTGGCTTTCTTAGGCCAGGAAGGTGTCTGTTCCAATTAACACCTCCTGTCAGATCGAGAATCCAAATTGTCATGTAGGCAAGGATGTTGCAGCTCTTCGTAGTGGCCTCTTCCAGTGCTTTCACAGCCAATTGCTTGTACCCATTCTATTTTCCTGTAGTAATCAAATTTGCAATTGTTTGATTACTGTATTGTTACACCAAAACATAGATGCTTGACAGTAAATCTTCTGAAGACCACTACGTTTTGAAAATCACAGTAGGTTTAAACATTCCTGACATCACTAAATGGGAACAGAGACAAGATAAATGTAGGTGTGTTAATCTCTTGCATGTTTACTGTCATTAGGTATGTTGATGGGAATTTATAGTCTGCCTGAATATCTGACCTCTCTCTTCTGATTTACAGTCACTGAGAACCTGATTCTCTGCTGCTTTGTGCCTGGTCTAGTCATGTAGTTTGTGTAACATGGATGTAAAACGACCCCTGTTTCATTTGCACTGGTGTAAATGGCTACATTTGGTGTCAGGCAGTGGAGGATCACATTTGAGAATATCTGAGGTGATAAAGCATATCAGCAAGTCTTGCAATGTCTTCATCACAGTTATGTTAGACCTTCATCAGAGTAAATTGGTATTGCGTGATGGATTTCAAGAACCTGTTTGACTTACACCAGAAGAAGTTGGAGCCATGCTCTTTGTAGACAAGGGCGTGCGTTGAAAGGGGAGGTTCAGACTGAATGCAAGGAAATGTTCTTTCACCATGACAATTGCCCCACAGAGGTTGTGCAGTTTCCATCCTTGGAGATTTTCAAGACCAGATAAAGCCCTGAGCATCCTCCTATTCTGACTTCCTGGCTGACCCTGCTCTGAGCTGTGGGTTGGACTAGAGACCTCCTGAAGTCCCTTCAAACTTGAGTTATCCTATGAGTCTGGATTCCCAGTTTTACTAAAGTTTCCAAGAACTTGTAAAGGAAGGAAGTGAACTGGGGGGTCTAAAAATATAAAACAAACAGCACCATATTATGCAGTTAATCCTATGTACATTTACAGGACTTAATGCATATGTAGTGCACATGGTGCCTCTTGTCCGCATCCCTTCCAATATCCCCTCAGATGGAAACAGCACTGGACTGTCTGTATGGGTGCACCAACCCCATCAGTCTGCGGGGCATAGGACTGTGCCCCCGCATCCTCTGCTGCACGTGAGATGGACTCTCCTTACTGAGGCATCATTAGGTATTTCAGGGTTAGGCTCTCCATAAATAATTCACATTAAATATATTTGTGTTTTATTCTTGCATGCTGGCTTTCTGGATTGGATTTTTCTCACGTATTCCCCAAACAGTCTCACACATTTGATATTTAAAAAGGAGAAATGTTAAGAATTCAGGAATGCAGACACCAAGATGAAATTACAATTTCGTTTGGAATGCCAACAAAAATGCTGGGAGACTGATGAGATTTCCTGGCCTATCGGTCTGTAAAAACCTGTCCACTGTTCTCTTGTTTTCCTTGGAAAGGCTCCGTATTTTAACTAATTAATTTTCTAATTCCTCACATGCCATTCTTTAGGCATTGCAGGGCAGGTGTCCATTGATGCCAATGGAGACAGATACGGGGATTTCTCTGTGATTGGAATGACGGACCCAGAGGCAGGCACACAGGAGGTAAGGAAACAAACACCTTTGCAGGTGGCCACTGATTAGTTAGGCAGTGTAATGTAACATCATACCATCTGTTTACTTGGTGCACACCTCTTTATTTAATACACACATTAAAAGGGTATTGCTTAATCCTGTAAGTCTGGGGCCCAAATCTTTTCTGTAAAAAAATTATCTCGAAGTAACTTTTTTAACTTTCTTAACTTCTTTTCTTTAACAGTACGTGTCTTTCTTCACATGATGCTAGAGTCTTTAAAATCTAAAGGATGAAATCTCACACACTAGCTAAGCATTGATAAATTTTGAATATGAAAAATTATTGTTTAAGATGATTAAGGCCTTTTATTGGCTGGGGAGAAGAACGATTAATCTTATAGTAACAAGGATGCGTGAGTTACCCTGATGTATGAACACAGTGAGTACAGGTATTTTAATCTTACCCCATGGTCAGCCACAGGCGGGAGTGTAGACCTTGCCTCACCTTGTTTGTCAGGCAATAAGACCTAGGCACTTAGTTTTCAGTGATTAAGAGGTGTTTTAATCAGAGGGCTCCATATACACCACGTGGGTTATTCTGCTGAACACAGCAGGAGTGGAAGCAGCCAGACTGTGAAAAACAGGCTATGAGAAATAGCACCAGTTGTACATAGTGAATAGCATGACGGGATTGAGCTTATTAATACATACGTTGCCCAAACTACAGCTGCAGCATACAGCTTCTGTTAGTTGCAAAGTCGGCATCAACCTAAGCTTTGCTGGCCTCCCCTATTTCATCAAGCTCAAACGTAAAGCAGCAGTAACCTGAGCTGGACATTTCTACATGTGGATTTGAATCTGGTGATGTTATTGTTGTCAGTGGTATAGCAGAGACAGGCTCAAGAAGCCTTTTTAAATGAATAAGGATGTCTGGTGTGTTTTGGTGTGCAAAAGTGACTGAAAAACTCCAGCAGTACACTGCAGACACTCCCACGGGTAGGAGTAAGCATCATTAATTGAAGCTAGGAGTACAAATTGGTTGGGATAACTTTGGTTTGAACAACTTGTATCTCTTATGTTTGTTCATGCCATTAGCTTTTTATCTCATTTATCAGTTAATCCCTCTGTCTTAGCCTTCATTCCATTACTCATTCACTTGCAATTTAAACTATCTTTTATTTCTTTAGTGTTACATTTCTCCTTTTAACATGTTGCTCCTTTTAATTTCCCTCTGCTTTGTTTATGATACATACAAATATAGATACTATTAATGTATTTTACATGGGATTACTTATTACTTGTGTCTGCTACATTTGTTTCTACCCTCATGCCTCACTCTAAAAACATTGTTTCTTTGATACCTTGTTTTATTAATTTTGCTAATCTCTTCCATGTCCTTACCAGAATGTTCCTCAGCTGAACTGAGCCACATGAATGGGTGTTTGGGCAGAGCTGTTTTCCCAGGTCCATTCACAGAGTTTAAAGCTAGAAGAAAACATCAGATTACCTAGTCTGACCTTTGCCGTATTACAGGCAGGCAGGTTTCTTACCCTTGCATGTGCGTAAAGCTCACACAGTAACAGGCATTCATTTTTCATTTGGAGACACTGAAGAACAGGGACTGCCTCACTTGCTCCCTCGATGTTTGTCCCACTGTTTAACCACTCTTGCTCTTTAACAATCTATGTCCTGCTTCTGATCTGAATCCATTGGGTTGCTGCTCATAACTATTTGTTCTTAAGCTTTTCTGCATGCTTTCATATTTAGTAAGCCCTGCTGGTACAGGACTCTCCCATTCCTGTTTGCTAAATTAAACAATCTCTTAATGAATAGTCTGCTGGCTGCAAATGGTCTCTGAGTTTTTTTCCCTCTACTTTTTCGAATTTACTGAATTTGCCTTTATTTTTGAACAAATGTTAAAAAAAGTATTTCTTCTAAGAATTTATCTCCCAGTTGCAAAACTGTGAGAGAAATGAGCTCCTTTATTTAGTATGAAATCTACCTTGGTGTTTAAGTGAAAGATTTGAACAGGCTACCAATGTCTTGAATTCTAAACCCACTGTATTAATAGATGTTTCTTATCCATGGTTGGACAAATATGGCTTTTGATATGCTTCTGCCATTGCTTCTGACTACTTCAGTGTCATATTTGGCCCGTATTACTGTACATAGATTTTTTTTGGAACTGTTTTCAGATGAATGACCTACTACTGTTAGCACAATTTAGTCCCGCAACTTTGCAGTAGATCCAACATATGTTATCTTGAATAAAGCCTGGATTTACTGTTGAGGACTGAAATTCTAAAGTATCTTGATGAATTGCTCTGAAATAATAGTCCATGCTACCGGAATAATAAGCAGGAAAGGCCCTTTCTGTGTAAATATCAACAACAGCAGAAATACCAGGTGGAGAACGACAGGCTCTGTAGTAGTGCTTCAGAAGATTTGAAGATTTTAGCTGAACATGATCAAGTACCTCCAGATCCTTGCAAAATAGAGAAGTCCAGCCTGGAGTGTGTAGTCAGGAGCCTCAGCTTACAAGGTACTTGAAATGAATGTTTCACTTAGCTGGGTGACAGTCCTGAGCACTCAACCCACTGTGGAGCAATTGAAGAAAGCCCAGGGAGAGCAGGAGGAATATTCAGAGGGTTAAAAACACTTGTGTGAGCTGGGTTTATATAGAAGAGAAGCCTGAAGGCAGACCAGATAAGAGCCTGTGAAGATGTCAAGGAATGTTTCAGAAAGGAAAAGTCTCTGCACCCACTGGCAGTTGGATAAGTAGTGATGGATAATTGCAACAAGGGAGATACAGGTTACCTGTTAGGGAAAACCACTGACAGCAAAGATAGCTAAGTTCCAGAATAATTGCCTACAGGAATTGTCAAGTCTCTGTCTTTGGAGGCTTTTAAGAACAGGTTAGATAAACATCTGTCAGGAATGCTTTTATTCATCTGATCCTGCCCTGGGGCACGGCATGCACTACATAACCTCCCAGAGACCCCTTCAGCCCTATTCTCTGTGATTCAACATCCTACCACAGGAGTCCAAGTGAGTGATGCCGCTCTCCTGTTTGTTTTACTTCCCTAAGTTGATAGGAAATTCCTTTCTTTTTTTGCATAGGTGATTGGGGACTACTACGGAAAGCAGGGGCGTTTCGAAATTCGATCAAATGTGAAATACCCTTGGAATCACGGCAGGCTGCGAGTAGATGAAAGCCGAGTTTCAGAGCACACAAACAACACACCGTGTAAATCATGTAAGTTTAGTGACTTAATGCTTCTGCCCAGGCTGTCAGAGAGAGGAATCCATGTGGTGATGCAACATAACAGGCCATATTAAATTGCTTAGCACAGTTGTCCAGATGAGACATCGTGACTATGTCTCTCTGCTGACTGTTTGGGAAGTTAAGGTCTGGCAGCCCTGGGTAGTACGTGGTCTGAATCACTTCCCTGAATTTAAACATGACAGTAATCATGATGCACAGCCCAGGGCCCTGGAGGCTTCAGGACTTTCCAGGGGCTAAAAGGTTTTAATTTGTCTTAGCCAGAAAGAAGGGTATAACTGAAACTCCAAACAGAGAATAATCATACTGATAATTAGCAGCTAGGGAGGCCAGTGCTGATGGGAGCAATGATCTCCCAGTGCAGAATGATTTTCAGTGCTATGAGAAGGCACTGTGAGGGGCCCAGTAGGCTGAGAAGAAGGGAAGTCAGCTGAATGGGGCAACACTTACGAATGCAGAAGGCTGGGACTACCCTCCACGGAGAAGGTGTCCTTGTTTTCCAGCATACTGACTTTGCAGACCATGTTGTAGTGAGCAGGATATAGAATCATAGAATCATAGAATATATGTCCTGAGTTGGAGGGGACCCACAAGGATCATGGAGTCCAACTCCTGTCCCTGCATAGGACAACCCCAAAATTCACACCATATGTCTGAGGGCGTTGTCCAAATGCTTCCTGAATGTTGTCGGGCTTGGCGCTGTGACTGCCTCCCGGGGGAGCCTGTTCCAGTGCTCCACCACCCTCTGGGTGCAGAACCTTTTCCTAATGCCCAACCTCCACCTCCCCTGGCATCTTCCTGCTCTGTTCCCTCTGGTCCTATCACTGGTCACCAGGGAGAAGAGATCAGCGCCTGCCCTTCCTCCTTCCCCTGTGAGGAAGCTGTAGACAGTGATGAGGTCTCCCCTCGGTCTCCTCTTCTCCAGGCTGAACAGACCAAGTGACTTCAGCCGCTCCTCATACGGCTTCCCCTCTAAACCCTTCACCATCTTTGTGGCTCTCCTCTGGACACTCTAGTAGCTTTGTATCCTTTTTGTACTGTGGCGCCCAAAACTGCACACAGTACTCGAGATGTACTATTGCAAGGAGATAAGGGTAGAAAGATACAGGTGCCTCAGTGGCAAAGGGTGGTCTTAGCTTTTCACAGCTTTTCCTACCATGAAAAGGTATCTGCAGCTTGATAATTCTTTGATCCCTGAAAAACCTGTGTGCACACACATGCTGTAGAGACTGTTTCCAGGCCATACCCTGTATGATCATCATGGTGTAGCTACATACCTTCTTCCTTTCACACATCCTGATGTACAGACAAAATCCCCTCAAGGATAAATGGAGGGAGCCATTTAATTTCCTTAACATTTCTCTGTTCCTTTCCACAAAACCAGGTAGGCATGGAAAAGGGAGCAGGCTGCACCCACATGAAAATGCCAGTTTTCTTCAGCTGCCCTGCACTTCGTAGAGTGACTGTCCCTACTTGGGCTCCCCTTCAGCCACTGTGTCCCTGCTCTGCCTCTGTTGAGATTTGGAGCAAGGCGAAGCTCATATGGCTTTAACTTGAAACAGCACAGGTTCAGAAAAAAAAAATTGAGGAGCTGTTGGATAATCATACAGTCATTTTAATAAACCTGGGTGATAGAAGGTTATAGTGCTAAACCAAGTGAAATAAGTTTGTTTCTGTTACAATGGCTCAGGGCATATTCAGTGCTGATTCCTATTATGTGCGTCATTGTAATCCCAGACTCTGTTATGATTCAGACCAAGCTGTCCAGACCAGTTCCTTAACAACATTCCTGTGTATCACATCTCTAGAACTGTGTCTTCATCTGACACTGATTGTGAGGGCTTCTTTAACCCCAAGGAAAGCAAGGACAAAAAATAAACATGCAGAAACTGAAATTAAGGACGAGGTTCCCATGGAGTCCCGAGCTCTGAAAGGCTTTAGTTATTATCTGATGTTGGTCACTCGTTTCCTAGTTGTGTGTATTTTCTAATATATGAATGCAAATAGTTCTCAATATGAACCCTGATTGTTTATTTTTCCCCTTTTCAAGCAGGTGGTCTAGGAGAATCAGCAGTTACAGGAATAGTTGTGGGCGCCTTGCTCGGAGCAGGATTGCTAATGGCTTTTTACTTTTTCAGGTTAGTCCAATTCATTGAAAGTTCTGTAAACTCTTTACTCATCATCCAAACCTCGCTGCTTCTGGCAGCACATCCTTGGTGGGAGGCAGAGAGGCATCATAATCATCTGTGGTAACATTCCCACCAAGGGCAGTGAACACACTTTGATTGTCCTTTTGTCTATATCCAAATCATTTTATTGACTCAGCGCCTCATCCTGTAACCACTTAACATTTCTGAGTAACTTTACTCGTGGAAGTAATTCCAGTGAGTTCCAGTCATTCACGATTGCTTTAGTAAAGTGCCCTGGCCTTGAAAGCCTTCTTTGTTTGGTACTCCTTGTCAGCACAATTGTGCAGGGTGTGATAGTGCAGTAGATTTATATCACTTGCCTGGTACCATGCTTAGTTTCTGAGTATTGAGGGGAATTGTACTGGAAGCTAGAAAGAGATTTCTGTTTTGGTATAAAAGAACATTTGGATTTCAAAGATGTGCATTTAACTTAATAAGCTGAGGTCACTGCAGGGTGATCGGTGTTTTATTCCTGTTCAAGTAAAATAATTCTTACACTGCTAGTCAGCAAATCTAAAGTCTTGAGAGCTGATCCTACACTGACAGAATAAATTAGTTATACATGTTCAGCATGTTATATATACTATAATTTATCCTCTTATGCTATGGAAGAGAAAAGGCAGACAGGAGAATAGAATTAACCTCTGCATATAAGAAGCAAATAATTCTTTCTAATAAAAATATCAGTTTATAAAAAAATGTTAACAAAATAAAACAAGCAAAAACTGCTTCAATTCACCAGCACACTTCCAGGGTTTCAAAAGATCCCAGAACCAGGATTATTCATCAGGCGCTTAGAACTAAAATTCTGCAGGGTGATTTTTTTTCTTGCATGTGTTTGGTGCTTATATAATATGTTGTTTGGGTCTGAGACAAGATAAGTTAGTTGGGACTGATTAAAAACTGTCTTTAAAAGAAAAAGAAAATACAAGTCTGTCTTTATATTGTATGTCATCAGAGGTTCTTGCATCTTTTATACATTCTCAATCTGAGATGATAGTTTTTAGGTGTGTTTTTTAGCATTGCTGATATTGGGAGGGAATTGGTATGTGAGGACAAGAAGTGAGGCAAAAGACATATCCTGAGCTGGTATAAAACTATGCAAAGCATCATTGTAGGAACAAGACTTAAACTCTTAGTCATCTGACACAAAGATTTGGATTGGAAATCCATGTGAGCAAAGGTGAGTGTCTGTAAAAGCAGATGTACACACCTGAGCTTAACACCCAGTCTTTGTATTTACAGTCAAAGGGGAGAAATGAGCACTTTTTTCAGTGCAGTTCATGTCATCCTTCTGTAAAAGCTAAACCAGGTCAGAAGAATGCCTCTTAAAAATGCCTGTTTCTCTCCTTTGACTGAAGGAAGCCACAGGTACTCTGTCAGATGGATCTGCACGTTGGAGACCTCTAAAGACACATGGGTGAATTTCACCCTGGAGATCTGAACTTACTCAAAGCAGGAATAGGGACAACCCTCTAATTCCACCATTAGAATAAACATATGATACAAAACATATCAGGATGTATGGGTCAGATTTTCAGAAAATGGAGGTCTAGCCAATTGTATGCCTGAAAGTAATTTGTACCTGCAGCTTCTGTACCTTTCAAACTGTATATGTACCTTCTGATTACATCTCATTTGGATCTGTAATTATCACAAATGAGTATGTAAACACAGTTTTGAGTGTGCATGCAAACGATAAAAAGATCTGGGTAGCTGTTCTGATATGTAGCTTTGAAAAGATTTAAACGTGAAGAGCTGCATTTCTAAAACGTGGACCTGTCCTTGTGCATGAGCTGCTACTGTGCATGCTCTGACCTGTGGAAGGATCTGACTTGAAAATACATAAATAAAGTAATGAACATAGGTCTTTCGAGTTATTTTGGAGCTTCCTGATAGACAAAAATGTCTAGGGAATCTTTTCAGAACTTGTAGGTTCCCACTTTCTATTAAGCCACGTTACCCAAATTAAAACTCTGCTGTTTTGAAAATCATTCTTCCAGTGCTGCATATCTAGCCCTGACTCCTGCTACACATGCAAGTGGAGCACAGCTTTCCTTGACATAAAAGCTTTTTATCATGCATCTGCACAAGCAGTACTGTATGCACATGGGGCTGGACTAATGCCCTTATGGTAAATTGGTCCTGAAACGGAGTAGAAACATAAATGCATAAAATATAAATGTAAATCTTCTTATGATTTTGGGGGGAGATTTGGGTACTAAAGGGGAAACTGAAAGGTAGTCAGAGGGTTTGTTTGACGTATGAAGTAACATAACAGAATTCTTCAAAAGGCCCTAGAGGAAGACACACAGGAAAAACTGTGTCTGATGCATGAGCAATTGTATTTCTTTCTTATCTATCCTCTACATCCTTCTTAATTCATCATACTACCTCCTCTGACATTACAAACATAGTAGCTTTCTCAGAGGGAGATGGGAGGATTATTCAGTTAATACGTAGTTTCAGTGAGAAATGCAACTGAATAAAGAGTCAGATCTGTTGTTTGAACTCTGCAGAAAGTGCCCCCCACCCCGTATACTGGAAAGAAATTTGACTTTGATCAATATAAGGCAGTGATGTGACACAGTTCACATGAGACTTCACAAAAACTTCCTAATCACTTAGATCAGAAGTTTTCAAAGAAGCAAACGTTTGTGTCTTGGTGCTTTGAGATGCCGTGTAGAAATTAACAGGCATTCTTCAGCCTGGGTAAAATGTTTCGAGGCAAACTACTTTAATCTTTGACCAGGGTTTCACATTCTGCCACATTTCATTTTTCAACTGGCACCCAGCTGTCCCCTACAGGCATTCTTTATAAGGGAAGTCCTGTTATCCTATAGCTGGAGAAGGATTTCTCACTCTGTTCCTCTCCTTTCATGCAGAAAGAAATACAGAATAACTATTGAGAGACGAACTCAACAGGAGGACTGTAACATGGGGAAACATCGGCAGTTACGTGAAGACTCCATTAGATCTCATTTTTCTGCTGCATAAAGAAGAAGAAAAGAATCCCATTCTTCCTAGGGAGAAAAAAGAATTAGGGAAAAGGACACAACCAAAGACATCAGTGTAAAAAGAAGAAGCCCTTGAAGAACTCACTCTTCTAAGCAGTAATTTTGTCTTAATTTCTTTCAGAAGCTCAGGAATGATTTACTAATCACATTATGCCGCATGGCCTTTCATCTCATGAAAAAAGAAAATGATGCAGTTTGATGTTATAGGATGTACTTAATATGTAAAGACGGTATTTCTTAAGGCGTATATTAAGGGCAGCAGGTCTGGGTTTAGTTGATGGGGAATGCCCCATTCTGTTCCCTTTTTTTTTTTTTTGCTCCTACCACCTCTTTCCTTAATTGCATCTCACCCATGGGTATCAGATATGGTTTCACAGGCACAGGTGCTGGTTGCTGTCAAAAGGAAAAAAGGGATTCATTTGGGGTATCATCCTGCATCACTGAATCATTGCCATTAATTACAGGGGATACAAGATTGGGCATATGGAGTTTAGTTCTGGGAGGGAGCTGGCACTTGAGTGTAATCAACTCCACTGGAGTGTAATTAACTCCACTGAGAAAGTCAGGCATGTGGAAATGCACGCAAACCATTCTTCCCTTGTTTGTGTAGCATCACAGTCAAAAGCACTGATTCTCCCTCTTAAGTGGTGGGAGTTAGGAAAAACTCCAGTGAAGGATGAGGAGTTTCACTGGTGTGAAATAGTGAGAGAGAAGACAATCAGGCCTCCAGAGAGGACTGGCTAATTCCTCAGTCTTATATGTGTTTTATCATGCTCTTTTCTCTCCACTGCCATGACTTTTCAGAGAGGCAAATATAGAAAAAAGGTAGAGCCTGCTCCTGTTCCCAGTGAAGTCAATGGCAAGATCCCATTAACTTCAGTGAGCACAGGACTGCATCCAAAATTGTAAATATGAAAGTGTTTGTATAGCTGAGGCAATTCAAAAGGGGATCTTTTTTTTTTTGTGTAAAAATGACATTCCATGCTACCATTTTATTTTTAGGATATTTTTTATCTTGTATTTTTCTATTAAAGTATCTATTTTTGCTTTGGTGTGGTTAAAAATTAAGGGAGAGGATGTTTTGAAGACATATTTTTTATGATAAGAGTAACATGCAGGGAAAGTCAACAGCTGTAAATACATTTTAGAACCAGGAGGAGAAGTGACTTTATGGATAGTAACAGGCTTTTTGCCCCACTTTCTTCTTCAGGCATGTGCAACATTCAGACAGTTATTTAAACAATATAAATGCAGTTACTGAATTGTGTGTGTAATGATGGCCCTGATCCTGAAAATAATGAACTTTTCCCATGTTAAATACTCCTACATTAGTCAGTGAGACTAATTATTCATGTGTGTACAATAAACATGCAAGGAACTACATTCAGGAATCAAGGTGGTAGAACACTGCTCTAGGGCTGACTTTAATCCTGCTGCCCTCACTATCCCTGGGACTTTTGCCATTGACGTTACCAGGAGCAAAACTGAATCTGTGATGAATTAGCTACTGACAGGTTATTTTATACTAGACAAAGGAGAGCTCTGCGCTTTCTAGTCAACAAATGGAAATGAACAGTACATATTATAAATGTGGTGAAGACCCATAAAAATATTGTCTGTGGGAAAACCCAGCTATGACTGTGGTTCTAGTGCATGAGATCTTTTGGTTTATCCTATAATGATTTCATAAGCAGAACTTTCTGGTCTCAGGAGTCATAGTCAGACTTGAAAGTTAATCTGACAACTGGCGCTGAAGCCTATGTTCTACAAAACTTAGAGGCCCTGAGAAGCCAGAGTGCCAATTCATGGAAACCATTTTGGGGTAGCTGGAAGTGAACGAAGAGCAAAAGCTGGGTCTGTCTTCTTTCTGCTGGCTTTTATTTGTTGGTGGGGAAATACCCCATGGAGTATTTCCTTTGACCTTTTTTTTCTTATGTTTCACTCGTCTCTTAGCATAGGCAGGGGTTCATCACCTGCCGTTGTGAAATATTGTCCAATGTCCCAGGCAGCCAGAGGTCAGGGCTTCCTGACTGTCAGGGCAGCTCTAGTGTAGGTGGTGGATATAGACCGGGTAGATTTGGTGTCTTTAGGACTCATTGTAACAGCTGTTGTTCACACAGTAGATTTCCATCATCCCATTTCCCAGTCTGGGCCTGTAGGACTTCTGCAAAGGTGCCTTAGCCAAAGTAACACTGCGGTCAATGGACAGTTTTCTGAAGTAGCCTCCTTATCTCATGGGCACCAGAGAAGAATGTAGGCTAGAGCAGCATTGTGGAGTTGGGGAGAAAAAAAGACTTCCTGATTAGTTTTTGGAATTTTTTTCAAGCAGTGGAATTTATCTAGCCCCAGGGCATGCTTAAGGTTTGGGATTTTTAAATAATTTCCAAGGAAGTTTTGATCTACTTCTTGTTTTGCAAATACGCCTTTCAGTATTTTTACTTTGTTTTATCCGTTTGACTACTTTGCCACAGAAAAAAGGAAGGAAAAATTTTAAATATGTAGAGAAAAGAGGGTATGATTTGAAGCATAAATTTTTCAAAATTATGTTTGTTATGACTTGCCTTGCAGTGCAAACTAATACTCAAACAGACACTAGGTAGGGAGCAAGATGGTGATGTAGATCTGCATTTTTCCTGTGCCATGCACAGTCAGGTCAGACCAGAAGATCTGAGCCAGGAGATCTGGCTGGGACAATAAATTTTTAAGAAAGCTTTTTTATTGCATCATCTTACTATAACTAAACATATTTAAAAAAAAAAAATAGTGAAAGGTCACTTTTTAATTAAAAAGATAATAATTCTTTTCCTCTGTTTTATGTAGGGTTTTTAATCACGACCTCAAGAAGTGTTATTATGAGATGTCTGTTGGTGGGATGCTGATGGAGGCCTAGCCAAAACTTTACATCCCGGCGCCTCCCAAGAAAGGTGAACCTTTCTTGCACATTAGAACATTTTAGATCAATGGGCTTTAATCTTTCTAAATTGCTGCACACCTACCTGTGCATTTTTCCCATGGAAGTGTGGAGATCGTTTAAGACATTTCACATAAGTAGATTCCTGTATAGCATAAATAAACTTGCTCTCCTTAGCTGCCTTTCACAGGCCTTTTGCTAATAGTTCCCAGGTCTTCTGTGGACCATAGATCAAAAACTGCCTTGAGTTTAGATTATTCAGCAGAGAGATTCTTTACCAGCTAATGCACTTTTCCTTTCTGGTTCATCTGCATTAGCTCAATGCCACAATGTTTAGGCTTCAAACTCTGTAAGGGAATGTCTAATCAAAATAATAATAATTGATTCTCAAAAGAGTTTTCAAAACCTACATTTTTGGCTTCAACAAATTGCCCGTATTATAAACATATGTCTGTATTACAGAGCTGCACAAGGAGGGCCTTGACTCAGCTCAGCACTTTAGAACACACTTAAAATATGCTCAACTTCAGCTTATAAGTGCTTTGCCCACTTGGGACCAAAGGGTATGATCCTGGCCATGGCTGAACCAAAGGGAATCTTGCCATGTGCTTGAATCGGAGAAAGGTTCACCCCATAGGCCACATGTTTATTGCTGAATCTTAGAGTTGTGCCTGTTAAATTGAAATTGAATTAGTGGCTTTGTACTTTTTGTTTGTCAAAGTTTGACAAATTCTGCTAATTTAGCATTTTTTTTAAATTACCAACTATTGGTCAGCTTAATAGCTGATTCACCTCAGAATCCTCCTCTTGAGAATTCTATGGACAAGTTACCTGGCTTCCACCCTCATATCTTCAACATGCAGACTTCCACTGCAAATTGACAAAGATGAAGCAAAACTTTCAATAGTACCTGTCATATAGTATGCTGAGAGCCACAACTTCAGAGTCAGATCCCTAGATGCTTTGTCCTGGGCCATTGGTAGTTCTGGAAGTTTTGTTTATGGACAGTTTGTGTGCCCTGAGTTGTCTGTGACTACCACCATCACCAGTTAATTACCAGTTGCTTCTGTGATGTGCCTCACTGAAGACCAAACCCAGCTAAGTTCCAAGAACATTCAGTCATTGCTATAACTTTTGATTGAGAGCTGTGCACCTTGAATTCTTGTGGCCAGAATTCAGTTCATTAAAGAGTTACATACATTCACTTCTGAAAATAAATTTTATTGATCTGTTTTCAACTTGTTTTTAAGAAATGCTTTATTGCATTATTTAAAGTATTTTGTTGTTTTTTAATCAAGAATTACTAAGGTGTAGCTAATGCTTTGAAAACATTTCTGATGGACCAAGTAAGAGTGTGCTCCCTGACAGCATGTTTTACTGGGAGGTTGATCTCTGATTCATTTTTTGGCTTGGAGATGTGATGACATGCTCATTAAGCTGACGAAAAAAACCTCTCTTTGTTTCAGTGGAAGTAAACTCAGGCCCTCAGTGAAGTGTCTTCAGGCTTTAAACTCAGCATCTTGAAGCAGTTCGGAGTGAATTTCTCAGCTTTGCAGTAGAACAGGCCGCATCAGCCTTAGCTGACCTTGGCTCCAGCGCTATTTTCACCTCATGAATGCCATAATGCTCCTGGAAAGCCAAGAATAGACATCAAAGACAGGAAGCTAATAGTCCTGGTCATAAATTTCTTTGGCAATTCAGTCCACCTTTTCCGGAGCTCAAGACAGTTCCACATCCTTCACTACCCTCCTCTGTGCTTCAGAGTAGCCATGTAGCTGTTCTATTTCTTTAAATAAAGCAGTTGAGGTTATTTTTCCTCATTTTCTCCCAGGGTAGAGTGAACACTCTTGAATTCCCCATTTTTTTCATGCTCTTTTCTCTAGCTTCAGAAGTACTTTGAAAAGAGACAGACATTTTCCATCATTTAGTCAGAAATGCTGCCTCTTCACTGAGAGGTGGCTTTTATGTAATTTCAGCCGTTGTTCATTGCCGCCGTGCTACTCAGCTGCCAGGACATCTTGTGTTGGCCCATGGCCACACCAGCTGTTATCGGAGATCTAGACCCAGAA